AACTTATGGCAACACAAAAGAAAGCATGGGAGCGGTGGAGGACTTCCGGCCGGGGACTTCGGGTGGCAGTTGTTTGCGGCCTGCCAGTAAACCCAAAGCAGAAGAAGAAGTGACGTCAGAGGCTTTATTTGCCTAATCCTCCCCCAGGGATTTATTCCGGTGTGAACGCGATCTGTACTTAGTTCAGTTCTGATGAACTAAGTTCTGATGAGCCTTTGTGGGAAAAGTATTGCGGTGTGAATGCGCCTATTGTAACACATAATCACTGATGTTCCGCTGTAACGGTGGTGACCTCATCAGAACAGAGTGGGCGAGCTGACCAATCAGAGCACAGTGGGCTCATAGGGAGGGGGGGGCAGGAGCTCCAACAAGCCGCTTAGGACAGAGTGAATACACATACTATACAGAGATGCTGTGTGACTGAACAATGTAAATCTATTCTAGTATACCTCAACAATGGAATTATGATCAGTAGAAATGGCCATGACATGGGACCTTTAAAGCATAAACACATTTTGCAGATGATTCACTGAAGTATTGTTATTTTACGACACCTCATTTTGTCAACTTTCTTTAATAGCCTTGCAATTCAGCAAGTGTTTCTTGGGTGCTCCAGACCTTTAACTCTACAGTTGCCTAGAAACTCCAGGCAGAAAGAGATATATCTGTAGATACACACAGCCACAACATGCGGTTGGCAAATGATTATCAATGTAAATTTGCCAGGAGTACTATTTGACTTTTTTTTAGAACAACAGTACATGGTCAAACCATACACTCAAGCACATGCACGTCGCTCTGCATCTACCAATCGGCTTGCTACTCCCTCACTGCCAAGTGGAACCAGATACAGTAAAGCAGAGACACGCCTCTTTGCCGTCCTGGCTCCTGAACCAGCTTCCCACTGATATCAGGACAGTGAAGTCTACATATCTTCCGTCGCAAGCTGAATACCCACCTTGATGGCGAATAAAAAAAAACTCACTTCAGTTTAATTTACAATGGTTGTTTGAAATAAATATGTCAGCACTCTTCCTGCTGTCCTTAGTTTGAATCTTTATGGTTTATTGCCCTTATTGTAAGTTGCTCTGGAGGAAAGTGCCAGCTAAATGCAATGTAATGTAAAATGTGTTTCTGACTTTCTTCATTTTGTTGTTTTCCAGAAGGCTAATACGGGAAAGAAGCAATTTAAGAGAAGGGACGGGGACCGGTTTGACAGCCTGGTGGAGCAGTACAAGAAGAAGCTGATGGGTAACGGTGACAAGAACACCGACGTCAGAAAAAACAAGTGGTTTGATAGTTAAAGCTGTGTGTTTGTGTCTGAATGAGTGTGTAGAGAGAATGTGTTTGAATCTTAAGTGTTTAAGATTAACACAAGAGAGGTCCTCTACATTCAACATCCTGATGTTTTAAAATAAGTACAGTGGTTCTTATAATTTAGTTTTGTGTCAGATTTCACAGTATGTGATGCCAATCTGTGAAATGTTTGTGTCACCTAACTTCAGTCATTCTATTCCTGCGTTTCTGTAACCCATACTGTCATTCTAAAACGAGCTGATAAAATAAGTGTGGTTGTTTTTCATATACTTGGCTTTTTATGAAAAAAAAGATTAAAAGCCCTTGAATTGGTGTTTTATTATGATCATTACTTATTTATATGAAAACCCTATTCGTCCCATTCACAGAAGTCAGTTGAATATAAGCCATATTGTTAAAATAACAGTCCCTGTTAATCATTAGCTGATAGCTCTTCATCGTCCCACTCGTGAAACTTAGGAGAGTAGGAAGAAACCCCACACTACTGTGTAGGTGTATTTACCTGGTCTACGTGCCTTTTTTCATTCATTCTGATCTCGCCAAACTCATTGCACAAAACCAACAAACTTGCATATCCCCACATCTACTTTTATGTAAATATTTATTCCGTTTTTGTTTTTTAAAAGTCTAGACAAAAATATATAAAATATCCTCTACAGTTGTAAATAACAATTCTGGAATAACAGATTACATTGCATTGAAATGAAAGTTGCCCTTTGCCCTTCCTGTCCTTGCAGTTCTCATACAAACACATCTGTTATTCTTGTTGAGTGTCAACCTGGATTTGTGACATTTCCTCTGCTGCAGCCAGCCTGATTCAGCTTCATGACTAAATGAATGCAAAGGTCCACCTTTTGATCACAGAGCTCTTTGTTGATACAACAGTGGTGTCATAACACAGAACAAGGATTATCTCTTTGCAGAGTACAGATCAGTTTGCATGGAAACATTGTGTGGACAATAAAATATCCTAATATGAATACGTTATAAAATACATATTTTAAGTATATAAATAAATAAATTTGTATATAAATAACATAAGTGCAAGAATACATTTCCTTTAAAACACATTGCAAAAGTTCAACATTGCCACATGCGGACACATCTTTTACAAAAAATGTCCAGAGGTCTGTCTTTCAGCAAGATTCAAGATCATCCAGGTTTTGTAGCAGCAGATTGAGGAACTCCCTTACTCTCATGAGAGCCTCGGTGCTCACAGTGTCCAAGAACTCCGGTCGACTCCGCTGTTTCAGCCGTAGCAGCGACGCTGGCTCTGAACCTCTGGGCTGCTGCTCACTGCATTTCGCCTTCATCCACTCCCTGACATAACTCGTCAATGAAGAGATATGGGACTTGGTCTGCGTCACCGCAAAGTAGGAGTCACTACTTATCTTGCGATTAAAACCCTCCAAGACGATCACTATGGAGGAAGGTCCATTCAGATCAGCAGCAGGTGGACTGAGCGTCCTACCAGATTGGTCCTGCATCTAAAGACAAAACACGATTCAGTCAAAAATAACTCATCCAACTGTTGATGATTTCCATCGCAAACAGAACCATAAATGTTACCTGTAAGTGTTGGTTTAGACTGTTCACCAACGTTTCAGAAATCCGCTTAACTGTTGATTTCATTTTGACTACGTCCATTGGCAGAGGAGCAGCTTTACCCACACTGAAGATGAACAGCAGAGGAAACAGGAGCACCAAAGTGTTGTCCATATTTGTAGAATGTGTCTGGATGTACCAAATATGGAATAGCACTGGTATTCCTAGGTGAAGAAGAATACACAGGTTATTCTACCTAATAATGTGTATCCATCACCTGCTGTCACTGTTGACATCTCACAGCAGGCTCATGTATGCATGTCACCTTTTTATCATCAAACACATGCTTCCTCCCAGTACATGTAAGATAATGGCATATAAATCTGTGTTATTAGAAACAGGTACAAAGATCACTGACTTTGGCCAACATAATTCTCAATTTCTACTTTCTAAACATCTGCTACATGTGTTGTGTGAGCTTTAAAACCTCACACAACATTACATCCACATATAATTCGTTTTTTCTATAAACACAACAAACTATTTTACAAATAAATCCAGCGATAAACATACTTTAAAAAGTTACAGATGTTAACAGGTGAAAGTGTGACTGTGATTACAGACAGTGAAACAAAGATGGCAGAGTTGAATTAGGAGTAAAGGAGAGATGGAGATGGAGATGGAAAGGAGAGTTGACCTTACCTCTGCTGGATGTCTATGTGTTTGCCACTGTAAGGCTCCATCAGGATATCTTATAGTGGATGGATGTTGACTCATCTCTTACTCACCTCTCTCCAAACCCCTGGTTCCCTCCTCAACCTCCTCTCACTTACACCTCTCCCCATGTCAAACCCCTGCCTAGTACTGCTGGAGACGGGACATCAGTTGGAAGTAGGTTTTTTGGCCGACTACACTAGGACACATTTGAGTCACTGGGTAAACATTTACATAAACCATTTATCAAGATTAGCAGGTGCAAAATACACCATGCCTATGTTCCTGAAAAAACTTATACTGTACTGATATGCCATAGTTTACAATTACTACTTTACTAATTAGAATTAAATGTATAATTACTTTTTATAACATTTTAAAATCTATATAGTATAGTTATATATTTTGTGTAATTCTTTGACTGTAGAGAAACCTTGCAGCTTGACTGATCACAATGCAACATGTTTTACTGAATTATCTTCACTGGCATTAACATTGCCTAATGCTGCAGGTTATGTCAATATTTATAAAGTGTTTAAACAGACAAACAGTGGCAGAAAATAAATAAATAGTACAGTTAAAACAACACTGAGGCAGAGGTGGAAGAAGTACTTAGAGCTTTTAGTACAAGTAGAAGTAGCAGAGTGTATGAATATTCTGCTACAAGTACAAATCCTGCGATCAAAATGTTACTCAAGTAAAAGTATAAAAGTATTAGCATCAAAATATACTTAAAGTACCAAAAGTAACTGAATGTGACTCATTCTGCACATTTCAGAATAATACTGTATATATTATATGTTTTAATTATAATTATTGATGCATTAATGTGTTTATCGAAAGCTGGTAAAGGTTCAGCTAGTTTTAATGAGTTTGTGTACTGCAGGTTAGATTTTGAATTTACTCCAGGTGTAGCTAAAGTTTTATTTAAGTATTGATTATATTTCACATCAAATACAAATTTGAAAAGTAACTAGAAGTATTAAATAATTGTAGTTTTTACGATTTACCTCTGAATTCCAAGAAATTATTATTCATGGATATTTAAATGCCACTAGAGATGCATATTATAAATGGATATATGCTGTCCTAATTTATGGCTTTTTATATCTTTTATCTAAATGCAGACATTTTAATAGAATTTTTCTTTTTTTCTCTTAATTAATATGTATTCAAATGTATTAAGCAAAGTTACATATTTTGTATGTGATAGATTACCAAAAGGGATTGTTAAGTACTTGGTAATATTATATTAGGCTATATTATACATTTTGATATGCACAAAGTAGTAGTCACACACAGTATTAAGACTCACTACCAATGATTCTTAATTAAATATCAGTGATAAAAACACATGTTTTCAGCCTTGGCGCTTTCCTCTAAAGACACTAACACATACCGAGACACATAGACATGTTATTCGATTGTACTCAATGAATTCTGCAGAATGTAATGTTCCAATGAACAACAATAACACACGCATTTGGTATTAATATAGATGCCAGATGTTTCTAATCTAAACCTTCTGTATTTATAGATGTCACAGTTACATTGCAGCAACATATCTGTCCACCATATGACTGATCTCTTCTAAATTAGCTCAAATGTAATGGCACTTTTTGGGAAAAGTCTTTTTAGATCTTTGTATTTGGAGGGGATATTTTTGGAAGCAGATTTCTGTTGTTGCTCCTCTGTGAGGAGGAGACTGTCAGTTCTGAGCAGGTTTCTGTTTTTCTGAAGCCTGACGAAGTCAGAGAGGGCAAGAACCTGCGTGTGAGGGAATCCTGCATCCGGAGGGAAAAAAAGCATTCATCCTGTGAACTGTTAAATGTGTCATAATTAAAAGCTGCTGTTGCTAAAGCTAATTCAAAACCAGGGTTGTATTCGTCAATATGTGACGTATCAGTTTACAGGAAACATTTTACCATGATGTAGAGCGTGAGTCTAGTCTCGGTTATGAGTTGCATTTATTATTAGTTTTCATTTTATTCAGCAGTACACAGTGTTAGTTCTTGGTAGCTTAAGTTATCTGTGAACAAATTGGGCCGTCATTTTTATATTCTAGATGGATTTTCTGTATCTGTGTTCCCCATTTAGCCTCAAAGATTTATCAAACATTCTCTTAATCAGTTAATTTTGTCAAACACTGCTCATAAAATTCCAGGGTATTTCCTCTTTGCCTGAAACAGTTGTTACTTTAAAAATCGGGTTATTTAGCCGATGGTTAAAAGCACACTTTAGCTTGTTCCGAACAGAAAAGTTACACAGTTGTGGTTTCTACATTAGAAACAAGGGAAGGCAACAGCTTTGTGAGAGAGCATTCTCTGTGGATATTCCTCATCCCTGGGATGGTGGAGGATCAATCAGGCTGCATCCCTGCAGGAGTAGAAGTCACCTCCTGGAGTATGACAGAGGGATACTGCAAGGCTGCATTAATAATTCATGAGCACTTTGTGTCACATGACTTATGAGAGCATATGAGTCACAGCCTCAGAAGAATAGTGTGCCTGTCTTCAATCAAACTGCAGACAGAAATACTGCATGCATCGTACGTATCAACCCTTTAAGGTTAAGAGTGGGGCTGTAATCACTTTAACAGTAAATGACGTATAGAAGAGTAATATACAGAGGTAAAGGTTAACAAAGTGTTAACTGTCCTGCTCCCTCAGTAGGGCTGGCCATGGTCATTGGCTTTACACAGTATCACATTACTTTTCCAGATGTAGCATGGAAACCAGGAATTCCACTCAACAGGACTTGGCGGAATGAGTCACAGGAATGATGGGAACTCAGATCCAGGGCATGTGCTGCCATTCACAAAGACGTGTTGTTTTCCCCCCAAGACACCCATTGACGTTAACACCATAAAACTGGTCTGAAAAGATCCTGAATCAGCTTTTTATTGAGTAGGTGCTTCAAAGTCGGATCTATGTAAAAGTCCAGTCCCTTGCTGGTTTTATATTCTAAAGGCAACATATTAAAAAGAACTGAGCAATTAAACTAGAAAATGCATTTCCTGCTGAAAACGCGTGAATGCCGTAAACTGTGTACATTTGTTGCTGAATTTAGCTGAAAATGCAGAAAAAGCTGAATATTGTGTTAGTTGAATGGTCTCTGTAGCTGCTTTTAGCTACAAAAACCAAGTAAGTGTGTTGCTGAACTAAGCGGAGAAATGCAGAAAAGTGAAATGATTTGAATCAAAATTGTTACAGCTCAAATGCATTGCAATGACTTTGTTGAAAACTTGAAAGTGAAATGTTAAACTGGAAGAGTAGGACAACAAGTGAAGAAGCTTAATATTTAAAAGAAAAGGTTTTAAAAAGTTATAAACAACAAAATATATAGCCTCAATGTCCTGAAATAGCTGAATAATTTAATAGTTGAATGGGTTCTGTAGCTGAAAATAGGCTGAAGGAGTTACATATCAGATGTACGTAGAAGTATAAGTTCAAGTAGCATTACATCTGTAGGGCTTTGTGGTTTTGGGGAGTGCGAGGTGTAGAAAAACAAAATGAGATGTCTGATGTCAATAAATGGGAGGTTATCCCATAAAAACAATGGTTAGGTGGGCAAAGGCCTTTGGCCGGCCTGTTTGTGTGTGTGTGTGTGTGTGTGTGTGTGTGTGTGTGTGTGTGTGTGTGTGTGTGTGTGTGTGTATAAGATAGTGAAACAGGGAGGGATCTTTTACTCTCTTGCTCGCTTGCAAATCTATACACACGTTTGAGAGCCCACATCCTTCATCCGAACACAATAATTACAATTGCCATCATTAATACCAGATATATTTTATTGTACTTATGTTCCAGCTCATCTATTACTGATGCATCTCTATCTTGTTATCTCAGCTCTTGGGACTCATCAGGAGATCCACAGTAGGATAAGCTGTAGACATTTTGTGTATCACACTGCTTATTGAAACCGAAATTGCCCATCTAAGTGATCCATTTCAGAGGTGTGTGTGTGTGTGTGTGTGTGTGTGTGTGTGTGTGTGTGTGTGTGTGTGTGTGTGTGTGTGTGTGTGTGTGTGTGTGTGTGTGTGTGTGTCTGAGAGAGAGAGAGAGAAAGAGTGTGTGTGTGT